AGCTCTGACGAAGGGCTAACACTCGAAACGTCAGCTTTTGTAATCGTTACGGTGGCCAATTTACCATTTCAACTTAGTTGATATATCCAAATTATTTCGTTACTTCCACCGACGCAGCCCCAATCAGTTTCTTTCGAAACTATCAGCCTTTATTCATTGATATCAAAGTTATTTTCTCTTAAGATAAAACTTCTTACTTACCACGAATTCTTAAAGCAGGTTTGTTGCTTTGTTCTAGTTTTGCGAGTTGTTGCTGCAAATTTCTATTATCTGGTCAATGAAATGATATATTTTTTAATTTTCTCTTGAATGCCAATATTTACAGCTTAAGAAATCAAGTCGTCACCACGCGTTGTAAACTTCTCAGTTTCAGCTGACGTGAAGATTTGCTGAAATGTACACAATCATTTGAGTGGACTAAGCAAAGTGAACCTGCAAAATGCGACAATTCATAGCCTTTGATTACAAAGAAAAATACATCTCCGTCCTTTGAACTTGTAATAATACACAATGTATTCAGTCCTTCATAACTAGTTGCTCAATAATTAAAGAACTGTTGCACGGTATGAGTTGACTACGCACTCGCACGTGGAATAACCTTAGTGCTACAAAAGCTACGTGTCATGAGCAGAAATTCATTTTTTATTACTTGTCCCACGCGGCTGTCCAATGTTTAACACCAGTCTCATTTCCATGACAGCACTCAAACTTAGAACGGCTTTCTACACCTTCTTTAACTCTGCTGAAGACGCTTTATTTTAACACTACCAGTTGTGTGTTCTCCGGCAAGGAATTGGTATGCGACCCAACTCAGTTGGTAAAACTTCCAAGCCTGGCCTCAGTAAAATCAAAAGGTTTGAGACGCAAATCGTTATCACGGCAAACTCATACTTTTCAGTTTTCTCGCACTCGGAGGAAACGCTCTTACAAAAAAACCTTCTTTCTTGATGAAAGACCTCAAATTGTCTCTCTCTTCTCGCTTTCTCTCCGTTGAAATCATAGTTTTTTGTGAGGGTCAGTTTATGATAGTTACATTTTCATAGTCGGTTAGCTTGTGCGCAATTTTTCCATGAACAGATCAGTAAGCGAACAAACGAATTTCCTTATCTCTTATATGGCTTTCTACCTATAAAACTGCTATAAAATACATTTAATAACCCTATTCTGCTTGAACGAAATTTCTACTTCGAAAAAAAAAGCGACTCAAAATGTTTTACGACCGATCTATATGAGAAAACATGAACATAACTAATAACTGTGGTATCGCGGTACTGCAAGACTCAACAGCTTTCCATGACTACTGGTCTAACTGCTCGATCTGTATTGCATTGATAAAGAGTTRA